AACAGTATATATATTGTAGAAGAATGCCAGATGTGAAAGTACTAAACCACTGTGAAGTATTTTGTGAACAGTATATATATTGTAGAAGAATGTCAGATGTGAAAGTACTAAACCACTGTGAAGTATTTTGTGAACAGTATATATATTGTAGAAGAATGTCAGATGTGAAAGTACTAAACCACTGCTGCCATGGAAAGCAGATAGACATGCTATAACCACACCAGAATACAATCTGCCCCATATGAGAGTTATGGTTACAAAAGAGGACCCATTTACCAAAGATGCTGCTGGAATGAAGCCCAGCATATCTCCTGACACCATTAAAAATATGAAAAAGAAGAATTTTAAGTTATTGAAGATTTACGAGCTTCCAGCTACACCTTGAAACCACTGGCAGTTTCATGACAGTTGAACCATAGCAACCTCTTCACCCAATGCAGCTCCGAAAGACTTTAGTGTCTTGCAAGCAAATGTGGACAGGGTCTGTAGAAAGTTTATCAAAATGTATGGTCTAAGATTTACCTCAGTTTTATTCATAGAAATATGTTGTTACGGAAACTGCCATGTTGGGCAACAGTGCATAATCATTTACCATTTGACAGAGCACAATCATCATCAGAAAAAATTAGTTCAGGGGATAGCATGGGACCTGATACAACATTCTAAACAGTGCATTTAACTCAATGATCAACATCAACAGCAAAATTAGTTCAGGGGATAGCAGGGGACCTGATACAACATTCTAAACAGTGCAATTAACTCAATCATCAATATCAACAGCAAAATTAGTTCAGGGGATAGCATGGGACCTGATGCAACATTCTAAACAGTGCAATTAACTCAATGATCAACATCAACAGCAAAATTAGTTCAGGGGATAGCACGGGATCTGATGCATCATTATAAAACAATACAATTAACTCAATGATCAAGAGCTTGTTTAAGAGCAAAGCCACACTGGACTATCTGCTGTGTCCACTGCAGGGTATCAAACCCCAGATTTTAGTGTTGTAAGTCCAAACTTCCTGCTGTCCCATCAGGGAACAAGAGTTTGTGATAATGGAAATTTAGCCACTAAATAATATTCCAAATAATTCATACCATATTTATTTTTACAGCCCTCACCTCATACTACAAGTATATCACATTAATATAAAAGTTTTCTTGTGAAAAAATAAAATCTTTACAAAAAAAAGAGACTGAGGATCATAATTCTAACCTTAGTTAAGATCTAATGTTTCATGTTTGAAATATAGTGCAATACAAAACCAGGGAGTAATTTAACAAACAAATTTTCTCATTTAACCAAAATAATTATGAACAAAAATCTATCAAAGTCTGACCTAAAACAGGAGATGTCTTATTATGACTATTTGACAAAAAGGCTGATCCACTTTGATTTAAACTACGATAACATTTATCTTTATTTCTATATCCGAGAAAGACGTACCTTCCACACTACTGTAACAAGTATTCCAACTTTCTGGCTGGCCTTCACTTCTTGAGATAGAAGGTTATTTTCTCTGAACTTCACATCTTGAAGAAAATCAGGAAAATTATGTGTCTTATCTGTATCCAGGCCATCCTCTGACAAGGAAGGTAACTTTAGCTGGGACCTCCAACAAAAGTCAGAACAGGGAGTGGTTGAAGAATCAATCTGTAACAGTTCAAAAACTGTTAACAGTGGCATCAAAATCAATTGTAACATATAATACCTATTTGCAGTGTGCTCAAAGTGAATTTTTAACATAATAACTGTTTGCAGAGTGGTCAGAGTCAAACTTTAACATATAATAACTGTTAGCAGTTGGGTCAAAGTCAACACAGCATATAACATATAGCACTGTGATTAGCCAACCTGTGAAAGTTAACAACTGTTAGCAATGCAGCCAACTTTTAATAGGTAGCAATGATGTAGAAGAGACATACATTTAGCATTTCTCCATCTTCAATTCCATTTGCTGAGAAATAATTACTTTTATGTTTACCTTGTATCAAAAACAAATCACACTTTTACAAATAACTTAGAAAATGCTGACTTAGAAATAAAATTAGCATATATCTTTTAGTTACACTTCAATCTATTCAATCCATATAAATAATAACACAAAAATATGAAACCCTATAGCCTGAGTGCTCTCAAAAGGTAGACCTTTCTTTTTTAGTCTGCCCTTGAAGAAGGAAGGTCCACCTTTCAAAATCACTCAAGCTATAGGGTTTCATGTTAAATTGAGTTCTTTAATCTACATGTTTTCCTAACATCATCCACATAGATGTAAGATAGTGTAACACAACATGAAAGTCGTTTTACTAACATCATCCACAAAGAAGTAATATAGTGTAACAAAACATGAAAGTCGTTTTCCTAACATCATCCACATAGAAGTAAGATAGTACAACAAAACATGAAAGTCGTTTTCCTAACATCATCCACATAGAAGTAAGATAGTGTAAAACAACATGAATGTTGTTTTCCTAACATCATCTACATAGAAGTAAGATAGTGTAACATAACATGAAAGTTATTTTCCTAACATCATCCACATAGATGTAAGATAGTGTAACACAACATGAAAGTCGTTTTACTAACGTCATCCACATAGAAGTAATATAGTGTAACAAAACATGAAAGTTGTTTTCCTAACATCATCCACATAGAAGTAAGATAGTGTAACAAAACATGAAAGTCGTTTTCCTAACATCATCCACATAGAAGTAAGATAGTGTAACACAACATGAATGTTGTTTTCCTAACATCATCCACATAGAAGTAAGATAGTGTAACACAACATGAAAGTTGTTTTCCTGACATCACCTACATAGAAGTAAGATAGTGTAACAAAACATGAAAGTAAAATAAATATCTGAATCCTTGATTGTATCTCACTAACTGTTTTAGTGAAGAACATAACACACAGTAAAACTTTCAAGTCTGCACTGTAACATGTCAGTTCCATGATGCTAAAATGATTTGTATCCCCCTTTAAAGCCAGTGTAATGATTTATATTCATTACAAGACAATAGTATTATGCTTCTTCATTTTTAAGTAGTGCATTCTTTATTCTGTCTCTTATGGTTTTCCCAAGACAAAGAGAGTGTATAAAAGTATTTCAACCACACTATGTCTACCATATCCACTGATGATAACATATTTCCCTCACGTAACCAGCTGGGATACAACAGAGATAGTAGTGGTTGGAACATTATTTTTGTACATGTTTTTATAAACAGAATATATTCCAATTCATCTTACACGTGGTCTAATTCACCTTATACGTGGTCTAATTAACCTTACACGTGGTCTAATTCATCTTACACGTGGTCTAATTCATCTTACGCACGGTCTAATTCATCTTACGCACGGTCTAATTCACCTTACGCACGGTCTAATTCACCTTACACGGTCTAATTCACCTTACACGTGGTCTAATTCACCTTACACAGTCTAATTCACCTTACACGTGGTCTAATTCACCTTACACGTGGTCTAATTCACCTTACACGTGGTCTAATTCACATTACACGTGGTCTAATTCACTTACACGTGGTCTAATTCATCTTACACGTGGTCTAATTCATCTTACACGTAGTCTAATTCATCTTACACGTGGTCTAATTCATCTTACACGTGGTCTAATTCATTTTACATGTGGTCTAATTCACCTTACACACAGTTTAATTCATCTTACACACAGTTTAATTCATCTTACACGTGGTCTAATTCATCTTACACGTGGTCTAATTCATTTTACATGTGGTCTAATTCACCTTACACATGGTTTAATTCATCTTACACGTGGTCTAATTCATCTTACACGTGGTCTAATTCATTTACATGTGGTCCAATTCACCTTACACATGGTTTAATTCATCTTCCACATGATCTAATTCATCTTACACATGGTCTAAAATATCTACAACTTCTACTTACTTCCATCCTTCCAAACGGAACCTGGGAAAGCATCACAGCCTGAGGACTTGAAACTGTTGAAAATAACAAGACAACCAAGGATCATAAGAATAGGAATGATAAATTATAATAAATCATGTTAATTCCAGACTTTATAGTCAAATGAACATTTAATTTTGTTGGAATTATTTTAACAGAATTGACCTCAGTGGTTTAGTACTTTCACATCTGACATTCTTCTACAATATATATATACTGTTCACAAAATACTTCACAGTGGTTTAGTACTTTCACATCTGACATTCTTCTACAATATATATACTGTTCACAAAATACTTCACAGTGGTTTAGTACTTTCACATCTGACATTCTTCTACAATATATATATACTGTTCACAAAATACTTCAATTGTATTCTGGTGTGGTTATAGCATGTCTATCTGCTTCCATAGAGAATATTGAAAGTTTTCTTCTTTGGCTCACCATTATTTAAATGCCAGCATAGTGAGACTGCCTACCTCTGAAAGGGCTACACAG